CCATATTTTGCTTTAAAATAATTAATAAACAATATCGTAGGTACTTAGTAAGCACTTTGTCACAATCCTCAACACAAAATGAACGTATTTATACACTCTATAGCTCTAAAAACTTTAAAAACACCTTTTTCACATTTAAAATTGACAAAATAATTAACTCAAAATTTCTCAGCTGTTATTTTAATAAGTTTACCATAGGCAACTAATAATACACACTATCATGACAAGGACTACAATGACGTCACAACTGTCAGCTGAAGCGCGGGAAGAGGCGAACGTACGTCTCACAGCGTTTTCACGTGCGACGGACCGTCCGTCGTGTTTTTTCAAGATAGCCGTCGGACGGAGCATACGTGCCCATGTGAAATTGTTCATATAAACCAAATACGTTTAAAATAAAGTATACAGAGGGTACCGCTTAAATTCCTGTCCCGATATTGAAGGATGGCTATAGAATTTCAATGATCAAAATTCTAAACAAGGATGAACCTATGTCTTGAAACCATTCGACTCGATTTTCTGTCCTCCTTCAATACTGGGACGTAAATCCTCTCATTGCTCTTATGGGGAGGCCGTCGTATATTTTATTTAAACGTATTTGATATAAACTCATGGTACTTGCTCGAAGTTGCGGACGCTCCGCTCCATCTGAAAGCGCTGTTATGAGGATGAGCAATCCTATTAGTTTACCGTTCTTGTAACTCCTACATGTAGAGGGCGCAACCTACATGTTTTTGTAACTGGTTTGAAGACTAATAACTTTTCGTCCGAACCTGTATAAAACTATATAAAACTACTGAGTAAAAAAATATATATTTGCATCGTCTTTATGTAAAAAAGGTCTCTTAGTAAAATCGCTACGAGTAATGGTTCTCGAGATATTTGAAATCTGAATTATCAATACATGTCATCATTGACATAAATTAAACATGTTGACTAAATAGTTATTAGACTGAAATCATAAATTTTAAATGTTTTTGTGTCAAAAGTTCAATAGAAACTGTTTAATCATCATTTTTTCGAAGAAAAATTTGATTAATTTAAAAAAATAAAAAGTTCCCAAGTTTATCATTTCAGTCAAATAACTATCTACTCAACATGTTTATTTTTTGTCAATAATGACATGTATTGACTATTTCCATTCTATAAATATCTTGAGAACGGTTGCTCGTAGCAATTTTTTCCAAACGTCGAAAATGTATATTTTTTTACTCACAAATTCTACAGGTATGAACGAAAAGTGATTACTTTTCAAATCATTCTGTAGGTGGCGCCCTCTACAAGTAAGAATCATATTGACATCAAAATTAAATTTCCCATGTCAAAAAACTCCCAGATACCTATTTTCATCCAAATATTGACGTTACTTCAGAAAATATTTGAAGAAAATCGAAATAAAAATGAAACTTCTGCACCCTGTATCTCCGAAACTAAGCATTTTAGGACATACATCTATACGAACTTTTTTACATATTTTTATCTGCAGAATATGCTGCCAAAGTCTCCGGAATATAGTTCGGACCACCCTGTATATTTCCAAATTAAAAATCAAAGTTCGTATTTGTCAATTATACGAGGGAACACAAAATGTTATTTTTGTGATAGTCTTTTCCTAATTTTTAAGTGTTTCAAACTTTCATCAAAATATCAACATTTTGTTTTCCCTCGTATAATAGACAGAGGTAAACTTAGTCAAATTATTTGCCTGAGCTGCAAATTGTTTAAAAAATCAACAAAATCGGCCCACCAGAACAAAATATATTAAACTTTAAAGTATGCGCATGAAAATTTTGAGGTGTGCGTTTTTTCGTGGCGATCAGTATACCTATACGATTATAAGTTTCCAGAGAACTACAAAATTTAGAGTGGATATTATTTATAGTGATGGGAATAATCGAATTATTTTCACCATCGAATAATTAGTAATAATTCATATTTCACAATCGAATTAATAATTCGAATTATTTAGTAGTATTATAAATTTAACCTAAAAATAAATTCGTCCCAGCTAGTGCTCGTCTAGGGGCTATTTTAAACAAATTCTGAACCATTGCCATACTTATATTCTATCACTGAATAAAAAATAAAAAAAAATATTCTTTATTCAATGTATTCTATTAACTGTGCCGAAGCCGTTTAATAAATTAAACCATAATTTAAAGTTTTAAATTTAAAAGTGCCGCGCGAGTTTGTGATTGTTTCAATTCCTATTGAAAAGCTCATATCTAAAATAAAAGCTTCTTCTAAAACGATATAAGTATGTCCTTGTTTACGTGCGGTTCGTATTTCTTTTTAGTTTATCAGTTGCAATCAATAATTATTTAGATAAAAGAAGAAAATTAATTTTAGTGTTCGGCAGGTGTTCGGTGAAATTTGGGTGAGATGGAAATGAACCAAATAATAGTAGTATTCTTTCGTTCTGAACGAAATGAAAATTTTCACTTAAACTGATTTATTCCTACATGATATAGGAAATAACAATGATTTCTGGATTTTTCTATATCGGATCGTTCCTTTCTTTGTCGATTCCCTTTATAAATCAGTTTAAGTGAAAATTTTCAGTTCGTTCAGAACGAAAGAATACTACTAATAGTACTATACTAATTACTAATATTCGTATTCGTCCATAAGAGGTTATGTTTTATGTTCATTTGTAATTCGGTTACCACAGATATAATATAAAATACTACTAATTTTTATCTCGATTATATCGAAAAAGATAATTCGAATTAGTTAGTTTTAATTTACTATCGAATTAGTCGTATTATTTAATTCGAATTTTCCCAACACTAATTATTTACACATTTATGTTTCGTAAGGTGGGATGGTGGTTACGCTGGATGTGAATTTGTACGAAAATTTGTTAATAATATGTAATAATAATTGTTAAATTACAACTGGTATATACCCATACAGTGTAGGGTATATACCCATTCCCATTGAGGAATATTGTAGATATATTCTTGGTACATTCCTGGTATTATACCGGATATTTACTATGGCGGTCGTCGGGGAATCCCCTTATAAAATTAGGGTGTTCATCAAAATTGCACAGTTGGCGTTGTTGGCACTCTTTTGTACATTCTTTGATTTGGTTTTCTGTCCATTTATTCTTAGATATTTATTTAATGTTAAATTTATATTTGGTGCCAATTAAACTTTTAGTTACGGAATCGAGGGCACGATTTTTAAATTCATTATTGCCAACAATGGACATATTCGGTGCCAGGCTGACTAACTGGAATTTAAATTTCCCGCTGGGAGTTCAGGTGGTAGCTCTGCTATAAAAAATGTCAAGTTGCCACATTTGTTTATTTTCTGTTATAAATAAACATTGGTCAAAAAATGAAATAAAATTTATAATGTGTATAGACTATCTATAGTCTGTCCAACGAGAAGATCCTTGACAGTGATATTTGTGTCTGTCATTTTAATTTCAAAGTAGTTTATTTTATTTTACAAAGAAATAAGTTGGTACAACTGGAACGCATAGCAGGAAATTAATATATTTAAAATTTGACTGACAAGGACAAGTGATTACTTCAAAATATTGTGAAAAAAACTGTATAAAACTGAAAAAATGTAATCGAGTTATTTTATTTAATAAAAAACGATATGTGTTAATAGAAAACAAACAAGAAAAAGACGCCACATACAAAAAAAATATAAAAAAGAACTATTTCTTACTTTCAAGCTTTATGAAACTTCCCGCATTTATGATTATATTTATCAATATAAGTTATGTACAAATACAAATTTGTAATATTCCGCAGGAATAAATAAAACAACATAAATAAAACAAACTATTTTATTAATAATAACATTTATGAAATTTTATACCTTAAAGGTTAATTGATTAACTTTAATCTTAATTTTTTTAAACCAGTAGGTACCTTTTGACATTATTTTTCTGCAGTACTAAAATTGACTAAAATCCATTATTTACCTATCGTGTGATGTCGATATTTTATAGCTACTCCAGTTTTTAGTATGTGTTTAGTATGGTCCTTCTACCATATTCGAGATGCACTTATCTACGACGAGATGGTATACGAACTTTATTGATGGTAACTTTATTGGTGTATAAGACTTTCTGCCTGGGCAGCGAGTATTAACCATAAACTGTGCTCTGGGTCTACAGTTAAATTTCACTCGATTTTTCCTCCACTTGATTTCAAATGGCTATTTCTTGTTTCCGATAGTTCCTATCTAAGATAAGTTGTACGCATCTCTCGATAGCGTAGATTTCTGCCTGTAGGATACTAGGGTAAGTGCCCATTGGTTCGGAGTAATTAGCTCTCGGCCCAAACACTCCGATCCCTGTTCCCGTATTGGTTTTGGAAGATTTGGATTCTAAATTCTAAATTCTAAAATCGTTCCGTCAAACCAATAAAATTGAAATACGATCTGTCATTTTTGAAATAAACCAATAAAACTGGTTAAAAACAACCAGAGACGACGCATAACGGATTTATAATTAAACTCATCCATAGTTAACTTAAAAATTATTAGAAACTTTTTTTAGTTAAATAAATAGATTGGTATGGGACGTCATCTGCTTTTCTTCTGTCATCGTCTGTCGAAATCTTACCTGAGAAAAAAAACAGAGTATAATACACATATAATTGATACCAATTAAACTTTTAGTTACGTAATCGAGGGTGCGATTTTTAAATTTATTGTTGGCAACCATGTAATTTAATTTCCCGCTGGGGATTCAAGTGGTAGCTCTGCTGTAAAAAATGTCAGGTTGTCACATTTATTTATTTCCTGTCATTCGTCTTTTTCGTCAATTACCTTTTGTATTACGAGTTTTTTGTTTAAACGGATTGTGTTGTGATACTTTAAGCTTAAACATGTTTACTAGCAGACCTTGCAGTCCAACATTGTTCTTTTGAGAACCTCTTTTAGTGCGAAGTGCACAAGATAGATTCTTTTCATATTTAAATAAAACACAAGTTTTATATCAATTAAGTTTTATTAAATAACAATAATATAATTTTTATTCATGTTTTTTTGAACATATACATAGACTTTGTATAAAAAAGTTAAAGAAAATATGTCAAAATCAAACATGTACTTGTTTGCAAATAAGTTTTGAAATAAAGTCAGAAAATTGATGGTCTATTTGGAAATGTGAGAAATTTAATTAATCATCTGGTGAAACAACAATAATAACATGACGCAACTTACCAATATAAATATTTAGTGAATTTGGTTTATTGGCAGAAGTACGATTTTTTTTGTCTAGTATTGGCTCAATTTTATTATCTGAAACATAAACATAGGCACGTTAGGTACCTTCAAAATTATAGTACTTACCTACAGTGTATACCGGGTGTTGCATCGTCGAGCGGGACATAGGAAATCCCTTGTAAATTTTAATTGGGTCAATTATTGGCTTCCCTAATTATTTTAGAGAATAATTCTATTTAGGTTTATTGAAGAGCACTAAAACCCACATTCAAAAGAATAACTTTAGATATTTTTGATTAGCCCCTTTACGAGTTATCGCCGATTTCTTTTTAAATATTTCTCCTTTCTTATGGCCCTGTATTTACTTATGAGCACCAGTCAAGGTAAAAGATAACTGACAATAAACTAACTAACAACACCCGGTATACATATATTTACCTTGTAATATATGGGTTTCCTGGTTTCGCTCAGGAGGTATTATTATTTTACTTTTTTTAGAAACCTCCTCCTTTCGAGTTTCTTCGACTACCCTTGGAAAGATGGATGGAACGCCCTTATTAAATAGGGGTCTTTTTGAACAGTGACTATTAGCAGAAGTACCATTTTTTTTGTCTTGTATCGGCACAATTTTCGTACCTGAAACAAAAACATAAGTATGTTACTTTCAAAATTATAGTACTCACCTACATTGTATACTGCACAAATTTGAGTACCTCTCTTCTACATACTAACCCTGGTCACTTTAATGCATGAGATAAATACAGTACCGGCCAAAAGTGGAGAAACTTTTAATATTTTTACTATGCCAAAATACAGTTTACTCTCTGGAGAATATGATATCAAGAAAATATTTCGCATTTAATCTGCTTTGTATAGCCATATAAAAACTGCTTATTTTGTGAATAAATTTGCAGGCAAAAAATTATTTACAAATTCCAGCGGACATAAGTGGAGAAACCTTATCTTCTTCATAACATTCTGTGAGATATTCTCTTGTTAAAGCGTCTAGATCGTGGTATTGGGTTCACAGAGCGGTAAAAATATGCCGCGCGTGATAAATTTGTCAGATCAAATTAAAAAAAATCATAATTGAGAAGTATCATTCGAGAATTAAACAAATTGATATTGCTAGACACTTAAATTTACATAAAAGTGTTGTGTGCAAACAGATTAATTTATATAGAAATCGTGGGACAACTGCCAGTACACCCAAGCCCGGAAGACCCAAAAAAACAACTTTGGCGACAGATAAAATAATAAGAAGATATTCACTTAGAAATCCATTTTGCACTGCGGAGGATATAAGGAACGAATATCCCTTTATTTCAATATCTGTTAGGTCCATTAGACGGCGTCTGAAACAGGCACAACTAAATGCCAGAACACCTGCCCGAAAGCCGTTTATTTCTAAGAAAAATAGGTAGGCCCAACTACTACATGTTCCAATGCAAATTGGACCTACAAGCAGTGAAAAAATGTACTCTGGTCGGAGGAAAGCAAGTACAATCTTTTTGGTTCGGATGGTATTAGGTGGGTGAGATGTCCTGCCAATGAGAGATTCAATCCCAAGTACACCATACCCACCATAAAACACGGAGGTGGGAACGTTCTAGTCTAGGGTTGTTTTTCTGGGCATGGGGTCGTCGGGCCACATGTCGGCCATTGTTCAAATAAATGGAATTATGGATCGTTATATGTATTTAAATATTTTGCAATAAACAATGGTACCTTATGCTGAATCCTCTCTCTCATTAACCTGGAAATTTATGCACCATAAAGATCCGAACTACACTGCCAAACTTATTAAGGAATTTTTAACCGAGGAACAAGTTGAAGTGATCAAATGGCCAGCTCAAAACCCCGACCTGAACCCTATAGAGAACCTATGGGATCAACTAGAAGTCGATGTTAGGCGTAAAAACAGGGACAAATTTAAAAATAAAGATGTTTTGTTCGCTGCCCTATTACAAGCCTGCAATAAAATATCCGGGGACGTAATAAAGAACTTGATTGAGTCTATGCCCAAAAGGTGCCAAGCAGTCATCAAAAGTAAAGGCTATGCAACCAAATACTGAGACTAGCGACTACAAATGTATAAAAAATTCCAGTTTCTCCATTTTTGTCCTCATAGAAATTAGTTTAATTTTTTCAAAATTTAATAGAGGCTTTTTCCAAAAAAATCTTGTGTGTATTTTTATGAGACAGTTATCCTATGTATAAATATGTATGCTTTATAAACATTTTCGTTCTTGTAAAACGGCAACAAATAAATTTAAAAAGTTTCTCCACCTTTGGCCGGTACTGTATATACGACCAGTTGACAGACAGAGATACAAAATAAAAAGCGGCGTACAGTGTTGCCGTCTCGTACGAAAAATAAAATAATAAACTATTCAATAATGCTCATTTTTGTTAGACAGTCATTTAAAAATATATTACGGCTGTAGTAAAATGAGTAACTAATTGTAAAAAATAAAGTTCCAACCTTAGATATAAAATTTTTCGTAAATACCTACTTGTGCGGTTTGAAATTTTGTTGCAAAATCTGGCAATAAAGCATAAAAGAAATGTATGGTAATTATTGGGAAAACTGGAAATCGTCCGATTTTCACCAAAATTGGTATACACACTATTTTGAGGTCGTAGATTATGAATCTGAACTTTTTTCTTGGCGGTCTCTTACCGTTTTTAAGAAAAACGGAAAATAATTTCAACATTAAATTTTTCTTTATTTCGGCCCTATAAAGTAATAATTTTCACTATATTTTCATTATATTATAGTTTATCCAAAAGCCACACTTGATTGAGGACAGAAAAATGTCCAAAATTTTCCTGAAAAACACTTTTCTCAACAAAACAGCAAAGAAAATTGAGACCAGATGGAAGTTTGACATTACATATATCCTTCTTTCTCTCTTCTATGTAATGAGAGAGACAAATATATTCTAGACCACTAGGCTATTTATAACCACGAAGTTGCACGAAAAAGAGATTTGATTGCATTGGTTTCAACTTCTTTGCGGAGGGGGTTAATCTTTTTTTGATATAATATAACAACAAAAGATTAACACCCTCCGCATGGAAGTTGTAACCAAAGCAATCAAAACTATTTCGTGCAACTTCGTGGTTATATATAGTCAGATCTCGTTGGTAAAATAGCAGTTATGGGAAGGAGCCGTTCTTCTGAGGACCGCCTTTCGTAATCCCAGAATGAACGAAAAAAACACGCTAAATTTAGGTCTAGCATTGGCAACGTTGCTTAAATGCCAGAAACACATAACCCAACATTTTCAGATTGTTTACAAATTTTCCTCTATTATGCATAGAATTGGTTAAAAAAGTAACAGAAAATAGCAAAAACATCATTGTTTATTGAATACCTAACAAAATATGTGCTAGAAAACCTTAAAAATATGAGAAATTAAGAAAAATTCGATGTTGAAATAATGTTTCGTTTTTCTGAAAAACAGTAAGAGACCGCCAGAAAAAAAGATTCGTAATCTACGACCTCAAAATAGGGTGTATAGCAACTTTGGTGAAAATCGGACGATTTCCAGTTCTCCCAATAATAATTACCAAATGTATCGACCTAACTTTTATCTCTTTTTAATACATTTCATTTTAAATTTAAGCTGTCTACATCACTGTCTTACACGTTAAAATCCAGACCACACAGTTTCGATGACCAGATCGGTATATATTTACCTTGTAATCTATGGATTTTCTGGTTTCTCTCAGGAGATTTTATTTTGCTTTTTGTAGAAACCTCGTTTGGGGTTTCTTGGACTATCCTTGTTGGAAACATTGACGGAACGCCATTATTAAATAGTCGCCCTTTTGAACAGCTACTATTGGCAGAAGTACCATTTTTTTTGTCTTGTATCGGCACAATTGTGGTATCTGAAACATAAACATAGGTACGTTACTTTCAAAATTATGGTACTTACTTACATCGTATATTGCACAAATTTGAGTAACTCTATTCTACATATGAGGCATAAAGTTGCAAAAACCCATCTTATCCCAAAAACACTGTTTGAAGATAATACACAAAACCTCTTTTATCAAAAATGTGTCCACTGAGTAGAATCATTGTTTTGTATCAGGTTTTTCTAGAAATAAAAATTAATATTTAATTTTGTCACACACAAATAATTCAGATCAGGCCGGTTTAGGTTTCTTTAAAAAAATGGATAAGGGGGGTTTTGCAACTTAACGCCTCATATATATTTACCTTCTAATATATCGATTTGCTGGTTCCTCTCAGGAGATTTTACTTTACTTTCTTTAGAAACCTTCTCCTTTGCTGTTTTATAGAGTACTCTTCCCGGAAAGATGGACGGAACAGCATTTTTAAATAGGCGCTTCTTTTGCAAGCAACTTTTGGAAATATGTATATCCTCGAAATGACTTTCGCATAGCCTGTATTTAGATCTAGATAAACTACTTAGCTTGGGTAGCAGGTCAGTACGACGACAAGCGTGTAACCACAGTTTTGCCCTATAAAACAAAAAGAACGTAAGTATTAGTGTAGTATGCAGATCACACACTTAAAATATTCAATGTATTTAAAACATTAAGGCTGAGAAATCTGACCTATATTTTGTTTTTTAGAAAAGTTTTAGTAGATACAAGTTTCGTCTTTTCAGTATCGAATATGCTCCCAATAAGAAAACATGAGAACAGAGTTAGTTGAACTACTCAAATACAATAGTATACAAACTACCTTATTAATATAAATGTAAATGTACTTACCGCTCAGGATCTTTCGGGAAACCAAACATAGATATCCCAGAGCCGAAGTTATAACGGCAGTTGCGAAAAGCACAAATAGCCCACATTTTCAGTCTATTTGTTCACAACACAACAAAAGTTTGAGAATATTACTAATAAGAGAATGCAAAGAATATTACTAACAAGAGAATAACGCAAATACACACAACAGGAACACAAAAATTATCAAACAGCCATCAACTGTCAAATGAAACACGAGCAGTGTTGCCGGCTGCCGCAGGGTTTTTTAGATTGTACTAAAATTTGTTGAAAAATGTACGGAGTTTGGAAAAAATGTACCGAAATTAAAAATTTGCTACTATAAACACATGATAAACACCTTTAGAATTTTAATGCTACTATATATTATAATATAATATCTAATAATATATTTTTAATATTATTATTATAACATATACCGCATGAAATATCGTATATAAAATAAAGACTAATTATAGAGATTAATTTTAAACTACACCATTTAAAAATCATTTTTACTCAATATAAAAATAAATTACAACCTTTTTAAGGCCAACTGGCAGTAAGCGCCATTAAAAAATAAAGAAGAATACGGGCCACGTAAATTGATGTCTAGAGCTTGACATTGCCAAAATTATCATCAACTGTCATTCCCCAGCCGTCGCTGGTGTCATTTTTTTCGATCGTACGGTATAAAATAAGAAGTAAAATTAATAAAACTGTTTATGAATCTACATACCGAACGTAAATAAAGTCGGGACAGCAGTTCTCTTTAAGCGGCATCCCCCAAACATTGAAGGCGCAAAGTGTTTTGCACAAACTTTCTGTCCTCTATGCAACTGCCAAAGCGATTTTGCCTTAAAATCCGGCCTGTTACAGTTCTTAATCCACTGAGAACATCTATAATTTGAGTGTGAATGATTGTAGGAATCCCTACTGCACTGAGATAAGAAATATTTACGTGGGTATTTACTTTACCTTTTTGGATCCAATGGGAAGGAGAAGAAGCTAAGAATCACATCATTATAATTATTACTTAAACAACCGGGAACGCAGCAGAATATAACCCCCATTATGATGGGAATTAGCGATTTAACATTTAACAGAACAAAGAATGTTTTACAAATATTTTGTTTATTTTGTACCCTTTGACTTTGAAGTTTATATTTTTAGGTTAGGGATCATATTAGGAATGACCGAAATACATCGATGCATCGAAAACATCGATAGTTATGTTTCGATGCATGGTTACTGGTTACAAATTTCGTAAGTGATTGTGCGCCTTTAGGGAAACGACCGCAGAGAATTTTATTGCGATGCTAACCGTATGGCGTTTATGCATCCACGTAAGTATACGACCTAGGATTACATCGGAAAAAATATCGATGTATTTTATACGTCGACATCCCTAGATCATATATAAATCAAGCAATGTTGTCAGGTCGTGGCAAAGAAATTCCTGAATTTTTATTACAGTTACGATCAACAATCCTTTCAAATCAATGTGCGCGTTCAGGGAACACAGCGGCTGACCGACTGCTGAGTATTTTGCTCAGCGGCTGACTGTTTTTGCGTGTAAAAAGTGACCGTTTAGGGAAACCGCTTACTCAGCCACTCAGCCGCTGACCGTCCCTGAACGCGCCCAATGACTAAAGAATCCAAGGACAAATAACACCCGAGAGCAAATTGTGACGATGACACCAAACAGTGCCGTGGCACATATTTTTCTTAACCTAGCTGTTTGAAGCAATATTTATATTTTTTGATAATTGTTTTGACTACGCCTATGGTGTTTCAGCCTAATTAATTACGAAAAAAACGTATTAAAATGTTAACAAAAGGTACAAAACTAGTATCGACGTATAGCACATATCAAGTACATATAGATGTTAATTGAAATTGAAGAATAATTATCGAATTCAATAAGAAAACGCTAAAAAGTTGGTGTGGACTGTTTATTTACCTATGAAACGTAACTCCTGGCTCTTTCTTATCGCTGCTGCTTTTACACTTGAAAGCCTCAACAACTAATCACCATTGTAATAAAGTTTATACAAAGTTTACTACACACAAACTATTAAAAATGGCTAAAATTGTCGCCGGTGACCAAACGATAACTCATTGGCTCTTTCTTATCGCTGCTGCTTTTACACTTGAAAGCCTCAACAACTAATCACCATTGTAATAAAGTTTATACAAAGTTTACTACACACAAACTATTAAAAATCGCTAAAATTGTCGCCGGTGACCAAACGATGACTCATTGTTTGCCACCAAAACAAAAAAAAAAGGTCACAAATTCTGCTGCAGCCCGTATAGGGGCGTTACATGTCCTTATATTCTTTAGTCATTGTTTCAAATAGACGGGTTTAATTATTTAAACTCGTCCCTTTAAATTGTTATTTACATCCGTACTGATGTCAGTTCGACCATACGGTATAATAATGAATCTAGCCATTCCCCTTCACACTTGCGTACGGATTCAATGAATAATGTAATTTTTAATATTTGTTACCTTCAATCATAAGAATATCCTAATTTTCCACAAAAAAATAAACAATTCTAGAAGCTTTGTGATATTTTATTTATTTTTAAATTTTTATTAATTACTCACTGAAACTATTATTATACACCTAAATTAGCAAATTTTTTGAAAGAGTATTTAAAAAAATATATGTAGTAACAAGTAGCCCACCACAAGTTTGTCCACCCCAAGCAAATCTTGGCAGGTAAATTTAAGTTTTATATAACAACTATACATATAGATTTTTTATCACTAGAATTTTTAATTTTTTTGTCACAAAAAACATAAAAATTCGCTCGGTGTCACCTCGAAATCTTGTCACCAAAGTATGGCCGCCGATCGAATTTTGGCCTCACAAACCGATCACGGGAGAATATGCGTGTTAGCCGTCCCCTCTCTTTCATTGTCTAAGCCCGGAACTCGAAGTTCGCCAATGGAGGACAGCAATTGTTATTTACATCCGTACTGATGTCAGTTCAACAACGCATGAACAACGCTTCATAAATTTGAGTATGCACATAATGAGCCAGTTTGTAATATTTATTTAGCATTTTAATTGTAATTAGTAGTTAAATAAGAGAGAAATTTCAATTTCAGAACATAGTCTGATAAAGTTTTACTAGTTTTAGCTTACCAAATTAGGATATTAACAATTTCTATTGATTAAATCTGAAAATGTAGAGCTAATTTATTAGACTTTGTAACATAATGTCCTTATTCCAGAAATATCTAGAACATATTGCAAAGCAATAAAATGTTATATGTACTAATGGTAAGTTCATGTTCGTAAGCAAGAAAGAACAGTAGTAAAAACATATCTAGCAGATCTGTACATTAATATCTTACATGTAAGCTCACCATTAAATGAAGACGAAATACCACGAAACGGTCTTGGTTCTGCAGTGGGCAATAATCTGCTGTTCTTATCGAATGGATTATTGAATTATGTGTTGTTGAAAATGATCACTGCACACGTTATACCTTTTATAGGCTTTAATTCCAGTAAAATCTGGCTTTATTAAGTCTTGACGTCCACATAGTGCAATCCATCTTCGAGACCTATACATATTAACAAAATATTGACACTAATTATACTAATAGATGTTACTTTTAAGTTGATATATTTTACTTGCCTGTTATCATCCTTTGGTACCCTGAAAAAACGTATGTTTTTGTTCACTGCCGAGATATTTTTACATTCACTGTAAATGCATCTATGGCCTGACCGTCCCTTATGTTCCATCTTAGCGCTCACTAAACTATACCGAAATTAAACTTGCATTAAACTTTGAAATTACACCACAACATAAACAAACAACACTGCAACAGACAACTTGTCGTTCACGCACAATATTCGCGTACGAAGTGAAAATTTTGACCTTAACGACGCCATTTGGGTTGAGAAGTCAGGGTTGGACTCTACTTTTAATGTTGTAAATATTCTCTACAGGGCTGTATTGAGTTTGAACAATATTGAAAACAAATTGTTTACAATGTTTTCTTGCATTAGGTTAGTGACACTGAATTGTCAAGAAATTGAATATAATTCAATTGAATTTTAGCAAGTAAGTGCCAAAAAACTATGCATTGTATAAAAATTATCCCGAGATTATAACCAAGGCAATTTTTATAACAAATTAATAACAAAAAATATACCAGGTATCCCATTAAATTTGTTAATTATTTTTTTTGACATACAAATAATTTATTTAAATAAGGCCTTCTTTGTTGATTTCATGCTCTAATAACTGTTTCAATTTTATTTTTTAATTTAGAGTAAAGTTTATACAGGGTGTTTCAAAAAACATGTGCCATCTCTCGTGGGGAGATTCCTCACGGAAAAATAACATTTTTTTTTCGTAGCTACAGGGTGTTAAAATCTTAATAATCATTTGATTTATTATAATTTTCTTCCAAGTACTTTTATAGTGATTTGAATGAAAATTTGAGGGCAAAAGTTACTATAAATACGACATATTTTAATGCTAAAAAAGTGTCGATAAATTCATCAGGGACGCGCATATGGGTGTTCACTGGAATATTTAAAAAAAAACATGTGCGCAACTGACTTTTTTCTTTTAATATCAAAATTATGTAGGCCGTTTAATGCCAATTAAAAGTTATCTCTTAATATTATGTCAAATTCGGCCTCCTTGACGAGATAAATGCAATTTTATTAATAACAATTAATAAAATTAAAATTAAAATAATATTAATACATTATATATTTTACCTAATTTATTATTAAATATTATTACTATTAGTTATTATTACTATTAGTCCAACCTACTGCAATTTCAAATAGAAAAATAATGGTATCTATATTATATAAAATGCTAATGTTTATCTGTGTCGTCTCTACTGAAGTAACGACTTGCTCTAGAAAGTTGCTTTTTTTACTAAAAGATAGCTAATTGGCTCTTCTAAAAACTGTCTATGTCTATGTTATTGCTGCCCTGATCGTGATCGTGATCGCGGCCGTGATCGCACCAGTGTGCGTGTAGCTTTAGATTTGGATAAAGGCAAATTAATAAAATTGCGTTTATCTCATCAAGGAGACCGTAATCGACAAAATATCAAGAGACAACTTTTAATCGACATTAAGTTGCTTACACTATTTCGATAACAAGAGAAAAAAGTCAGTGGCGTTTATGCTTTTTTTAGAAAAATATTACAGTGATGAAAAATATTACAGTGATATGCACGTTTCTGGTGAATATGTCGACACTTTCTTAGTTTTAAAATATGTCGCATATATAGTAACTTTTATTCTCAAAATTTCACTCGAAACGGTAAAAGTACTTTGAATTATAATAAATCGAAAAAATATTAAGATTTTAACATCCTGTAGCTACGAAAGAAAGCAGAATCGGATCTATGTTGATATGAAAACTAAATCTTATTTTTACGTGATGAATCTCCCCACGAGAGATGGCACATGTTTTTTGAACACCCTGTATACATTATACATGCTCGAAAAAACATACTTACTGAAAATGTACTTACAAGCAGTATTCTGATTGTTATTATTATTACGTGTTTGATAAAAGCGTACCTGGGGCTACAATCTGCTGAAGGATATGTATTTCCTCAGAAGATCTCAGAAGACGGGATCTTAGAATAGGGGATCCCTCCGCCGATGCATCGGATGTTGTTGCTTTATTTATATTGATGAGTGGGGGATTACTGTAGCTATGTTCCTGAATCGGATACCCAGAAGTTCCTTCCAGTGAATGGAACAATGTTGGAACAGCAAATGGGTTCAATCGGTTGCGGAAACGATTAGTAAACATCCTCAATTCAAAATGATCTGCGCAAAGTCTATAGCTTTTATGAAGAGTTTCTAATTTATCCTCTAAATCAAACCTATCACTGGCCATCATCCAAATTCTTGCTCTGTAAGAAGTTATTTGTGTAAGAAAAGAGGCCGACTATTGTTTGACATTTTTTGTTGGCTTGGGAGAAAATGCATATTTTGTTAATCGAGAAGCAAGTTTTTGTTTTTTTTTTAATTTTTGTTTTTTGTTATATTAATATTTTATTACAGCTGGCGTGACTTGCATTATGGGTATAAAAAAATAAACAATAAATATCGGGCCTAGAACAAGGGCGGTTTTAGAAAAAATTCTGTGGGGGGGAGGTGATTTAAAATAAAAAAGGCGTGTGCCAGCGGCGTGCGGTCCATGGAAGCGGGAGAAGCATTGCTTCCCTAAACTTTTTAAATATAAAAAAATAAATAGTTAAACGTTAATAATACTGTTATTTTATAACAAAAGATTAATTTAATTTGTTAAAATTATTTATTTGAAACCTACGCAGTAAATTTATTTAGCCTTTTACTGCATGGATGCGCGCCTGGAAATCGCCGCCGGTCGCCTATCCCTCCTTCATGTAGGTGTTATTGACCTCGAACGCAAACGACAAATTTAAGCCGGAAAATCACTTGTGTCTAGCCCCAGCAAGGCAACTATTAAGCTTGACCAATCACATTAGAGTTTTTGACAAACGCGAATGCAGAACAGCTGTGGCGTATTGTATAATTTATTACCAACAAATAAAGAAAATCAATGAATATCTAAAAAACAAATATAAATTAGTAAAAACCAACCAACCCCACCAATGAATTAACACCCTCCAAATAACCACGCTAACCAAGGCTTAATAGTTGCCTTGCTGGGGCTAGACACAATTGGAAAATCGCGCACAGTTGCTAGCCACGGCAGCGATCTTTCGGCCGCCTTCCGCGACTTTTAATTTATTGGGACGGGTTCGCTTGCGATTTTATAGGTAATATTGTATTTTTTTCGGATTTAACTTAGTGTTTACTGTTTCGTTTGTAATGGAGGGTCAAGAAGGACAATCTTCTGCTTCTGCTAGGTGTGGACAATAATTTAGACTGTGTTTGGGTTGTATGTGTGTTAATAAAAAAGGGATTTTCTAGTCGAAATAGGGTTTTTTACCGATTCGCTTCCCCGCCTATAATTGTCACCGCACGCCGCTGGGCGTTCTTCTTACTTAAATTAACAACTATTAAATTGAAGGATTTGAAGGACATGTTAAAAAAGTGTAGTTTGAAATGTTGAAAAATTAAAAAATATATTTTTTGACGTGTAAAAATAATTTTTAGGTGTAACAAATAGTTTTTTCCGTGTAACAAATAGTTTTTAACACGTAGAAAATATTTTTTTGCGTGTAACTAATAGTTTATTATGTGAAACAAATACTTTTCTACGCGAAAAAAAATGAGGTTTTCAGATATAGTTACACGGATTTTAAAATTTGAATATTAATTCTAACAAATCGTCCTTATTCTAACAAAAATATGATATACAGGGTCGCTAATATGTATGGGAACGGTCGATTATTAGGTAAAATATAAGGGGTACCGCAAAAAGTTAAATATTCTTGCTCTGTAACTAATCTCTCTAACTCTGATATACTAATATATCAGTGTAACTTTAAAACTAAATCCTTTGAAATCAAATATAAACATAAAAAATATTTACAGCAGAAAAGGCGAAGGCGCTGGGTTAAACGTAGTCTCTACTAAGAACACGGAGGGGCGCTTTAACCCAAAATTTTACTATTAAGTTTCATATCTATCTTAATAGAAGATTATTTTCTTTTATCTATGACTCTGAATCATCGGTTCGTGGTCGGAAACTCTACGCACTGCGCTATGGAGACATGTTCGATTTATATTCAATACTAGAATTTAAAGGACTAATAAAAATATAGAATCTTCTTTCAATGCGCAGTAGAGAACGCAACGTTTACCGGCAGCCAGACGGGCCGCATGCTGTTCTAGAGAGCATAGTAAAAGATATATCAAAGAGCCAGACGTCTTAAAATACTTGTTTTTCCGACGTTGCTAGCTCTCGTACTATTATGTGTATATGGTATCAACTGTTTAATAATGCTCTGATTCTATTTTTTTTTTGTTATAATAGATAACTAATTAGGTAAACACGCGTGCTTACCTCATTAGTTATTAGAATATATAAATAATAGTATATAAATAATAAGAATTAGAATAGAGTCGCGTACACAAGCAATCAAATAGTCGGCCGATTGGCTCCATGAGAATATATTATTTTCACTTTTGCAATTAAATAGTTGGCCGACTAAAAATTGCATATCAAAGCGCGCGTTGCGTTAAGTACACAAATGAATGTAGTAAGATAAAATACATACCTAACAGGATCAACGGGAAACGTAAAAAAGCTCTTCTGTTTCGAAAAACGACGTTTATTTTTGCAGTTTGTTGCAGCACACCCTGATCCACTTCTTGCTTTCTCCATTATTACCACACAAATTAACAACTACCATAAAAAAACACAAAAATGATAAGACTAATAACATTAATAACCAATATCCTAAAAAACACTAATACTAATAAAACCAAAAAAAAATTTTTCAAAGGCAGTTCAACTGGCGGAACTGGCTTTAACGCCGTCACTGGCATAATTTTAGGCAATGCCGTCTCTAACAGAACAGCCTCTGAGCGAGATTTATGACGTCACGCTAGTTAGATACTACGGGTTAATAAATATGTTGTAGAACACATGGAAAACATAATTATTCCTCAGATTTTTGGTTTGAATTTTAAAAATGATATAGTTTACATGAAACATACATAATATACAGTTAATAAATACAATATATATATGCCTATTTACAGTAACAAATACTTTGGCAAATAAACTATGAACCATACAAATGCAGGAATGAATAGGTACATAAGATGATGGGTAAAATGTAAAATATATTTTAAATTTTGGGGTTTGAAAATGGATCTAATTTAACAAAAAACTTCACAAAATTTATATGTATATTTTGTAAGTATCAATGTTCGAAAAATTATATTTGCAAATAATACAATATCATCGAAAAAAGAGGCGTCAGCGATGGCTATGATGAAGATCGCTGTCATTTTATATGTAAAATTATTTAGGAAATGTCCTCGATGTTCATTTCCAAGCCCACTAGACGCCGTTTTTTTTTCGATGATACGGTATTATTAATTTGGTCATAAATAATCAACTATTCATTAAAAATTACTGAACAAAAAATATGCTATGCTTTACATACATTATATTATCAAACAAAAACACGTTTTTCTTTTAAACTTTATCATTCTTGTCTTTACGAAAATCTTTTTTAATTTTGAACTCAAAATAATAATCTTTTTCATGATCTTTAACACACATATTCTTTATTTTTCCCTAGATTATAATACCTACTTACGTGTTTGAATCTATCGAAGCTGAACCAACAACACTTGGGTGTGGATTCCACAATATGAATAAAATAAACATAATTGTCCAGTTTTCTTTAATACCAGCCTGGGAGAATATTATTTTTAAATTTATTAAAGATATTTTCAATAGAATTGTCTTGACTTATAACTCGTTTCCACTTTTCTTGCCCTTGCGGACACTTTAGGCTGCCTAGTATAATTATCCTTGCAACCAGGAACACAACAAAGATGAGGCATAGCACCAAAAACACACTCCGCTTAAGCTTTATTGATGAATTGTTAGAGTCTTAAAAAACGCACACAAAAATCATGATAAATAAAAAAATTATGGGCACTTTTAGGTTAAAGCACTTAACAAAACGTGTAATATTTCGTGTTTTTTTTTTGAGAAACAGAGTGACCATATATCTGGTAGTAGTTTATGTCACTTAACACCAAAATAATTAGTTTTTTTGCACTACAATAACAAATAATACCAAAAATCAACCGACAAAATATAAATACAGAATCTAACCGAATACTATCTAACAATGAACAGCTGAAGAAGTAAACAAAAGTCCGCGCCTGGGCTGATCTATTAGAGACGGCAGTGTTTTAGGCAAATACGTTTAAAATAAAGTATACGGAGGGTACCGCTTAAATTCCTGTCCCGATATTGAAGGATGGCTATAGAATTTCAATGCATTTCCTACATAAGTCTATCCTTGGTTTGTAGGAGGTTTGACTAAACAAGGATGAGCCTATGTCTTGAAACCATTCGACTCGATTTTCTGTCCTCCTTCAATACTGGGACGTAAATCCTCTCATTGCTCTTATGGGGAGGCCGTCGTATATTTTATTTAAACGTATTTGGTTTTAGGATTCTAAACCCGTTCTCAACCGAAATGGCGGCGTGCGCAGAGTCGTCGTGCATTGAGAGTTTCTCTGCTGTTTATTAAACAGCCAAAACGTAAGAAAATAACTTAAAATGTTTAATAAAGCAACATGTATTGGCCCGACAACCGACAAAATTGAATCAAAAATCGAAAGGGAAAATGAGGAGTGCATAGAGGTAAAAAAAGGTTGCCACCTCTTCCAATTTCTACCTATATTTAGGACAATATATCTTGATAAGGCTAAAATAATTCAGTAACATTCCTGACGCATATAAAATTAAATCTTGACGGGAAATATCCGAAATATCCTAGGAGTCAAACTTCTGATTTGTGTATTCTATTTTCAATTTAATATTTGGTCCAGTGGTCATATGAATTGGTAAGAATTGATTCGTACAAACAAATTTTCGTACAAATTCGCATCCAGCGTAGGTAACCGTCGACGCCTGTGTATGTGTTTTAGAGTAGCTAAATTTATTGTTTATTATTAGTTTTATTTTCTTATCAATATTATTTTACCTTTTCGGAAATAGCAATAATTTTATCATTTAGAATAGACATGCTGTTTTTATAATAAGGAAGCTAATATACAGGATATAAATGAATAAGTGCGAGCAATACTAATACGAACAGTGATAACCCATATACAGGGTGGTCCGAACTGTATTCCGGTAACTTCGGCAGCATATTCTACAGATAAAAATATGCAAAAAAGTACGTATAAATGTATGTACTAAAATGCTTAGTTTCGGAGATACAGGGTGTAGAAGTTTCATTTTTATTTCGATTTTTTCCAAATAATTTCTGAAGTACCGTCAATATTTGGATGAAAATTGCTGTCTCGGAGTTTTTTGACATGAGAAATTTGATTTTGATGTCAATATGTCTCCTATTTGTAGGGGACGCCACCTACATGTGTTTTAACTGTTTTGAAGAGTAATAACTTTTCGCTCGTACCTGTATAAAACTAATGAGTGAAGAAATATAGATTTTCGTGACTTTTTACGTAAAAAATGTCTCTTGATAAAAATCGCTATGAGCAACCGATCTCAAGATATTTAGAAAATTTTCAATACATGTTATTATTGACAAAAAATAAACACGGTTGAGTGAGTTTCTGTTGAACTTTTGGCAAAAAAAAACATTTCAAATTTACGATTTCAGTCTAATAACTATTTACTCAACATGTTTAATTTATGTCAATGATGACAGGTATTGATAATTTCTATTCCAAATATCTCGAGAGCCATTATTCGTAGAGATTTTTACCAAGAGACATTTTTCACGTAAAAAACGTCGTAAATGTATATTTTTTTATTCAATAATTTTATACAGGTACGGACGAAAAGTTATTACTTTTCAAACCAGTAAAAACATACGTAGGTGGCGCCCCCTACAAGTAGGAGTCATATTGACATCAAAATCAAATTTCTCATGTCAAAAAACTCCCAGACATCAATTTTCATCCAAATATTTACGTTACTTCATAATTATTTGGAAAAAATCGATATAAAAATGAAACTTCTCCACCCTGTAATCCGAAACTAACCATTTTAGGGCATACACATTTATACGAATTTTTTTTACTTATTTTTATCTGCAGAATATGCTGCCGAAGTTTCCGGAATACAGTTCGGACCTCCCTGTATACAGTAGCGGATCGCCGAGTGAAGCAAAATTTTTACGGTATACTTATAGTTACACAATAATTCATATAAACAACTCAAAGCCGCCGTCCAAGTCTGTCTTTAATGTTTGTAGCCTTGTGGCATCTCAAAGCAAGACACGGAGAATAAACCTTGAAAAACATTCGTTATTGTTTTGCTTCACCTTCACAAATGATGACGAGCCGCCACTGAATATCTGAACTTAACTGAAGAGACAAACGAGACATAACATTATGATTATTATTATCAACTTACCGATTTTCATCAGACGGAAATCTGAAAAAACTGAGAGAACAACTTTTTGAAGTGTTGATACATCCAAGAGCAGCACAGAGCAATGCACTCATTTTTGCCAAACCGAACTTTTTGTTAACAAGTTATTTGTCTAGCAACCCGACAAGACGACGATTCTCATTCTCGCAACATGCTGCCACAATGCTGCCAACGTGCCAACAATCTCCCTCTCTGTCCAAAATTGCATCTCTGTCTTGGTATTCTGTAGGAATGAGCAAAAGTATCGATCTTTTTTTAAAACGGTTTGATAAAAATCGCCGATATATTTGATGTGATAAAATGGTCATTTCAAATTTCAAATATTGAATATCCAAATACAGATAATAATATCCAAAGTTAAATATCAACGTAGAGAGAAACAATTCAAGAAGTGATCCTCAGTTAAAAAATAAGAAACACCGGTCCGATACTGCTTTGTTTCGTAGCTACAGGGTGTTTAATTAAAGTCTTAATATTTTTTCGATTTATTATAATTTTCTTTTTCTTTTCTACTTTTAGCGTTTCGAATGAAATTTTGGGGATAAAAATTTCGCTGTTTATGATAATTTTTGCATTTTGGTAATGTCCTGTTGTCATGAGGTGATTCTCTTCACACTCAACCCAGCCACAATTTTATTTAGTTCAACTACGTTTTTTAACAACCTGCATTAAATAAATTCTACAGCAATAATTAAAAAAAAAACACAAACAAAGATTTTCATAACTTTTTTTATTAATAATAGAGTTGTTTAGTAGATTATTACCTAAAATCTATCAATTGCTATAACTTTTTATTCATAGGAAAGGCAAAATATTTTTTTTTGTCTTGTTATTTAATAATAGTTTCAAATATTCCTAAAAACAATAAAATCTCAATAAAAAATTCAGGGGAGGAAACCATATCCTTCCGACTTAACAAATAACATAATTCTAATAAAACGTAAACTTTTACAACTACGATTGAATAATATTACAATTAAAAGGTAACATCATCGAATAGACGTTAAAGAATGAATGGCATCTATTCGATGGTGTACGGGGTGTTCCAAATTATGGGGCAACCTCTGGGATCTGGAAAAGTATAAGTGATACGAAAAAGGTCAAATTATGGTAAAGTAGGAATTTTTTGTAATAAAGAAAATTTTTTATTTCTATTTTTTTTTTGCGGATCACTTTGATAATGTGTGTAAAAACCAGTGGCGCATCAAGAGACTGAGTCTGGGAGGGGTATGTAGAATGTTTAGGAGGAGAGTTAATCACCGCGACCTTACAGATATATTGTAGTGTGTTCCCCTTTCTTAAGTTATAACGAGTTATAACTCATCATACAGTCTTAGGGCTTTAGCGAAAGACCTGACTGAGACGGCTCCACAAAGGCCAGCTCTCCATCCTTCCAAAGTTCATGGCACGAACGGTCGTCCTCTCGGTCCACTCAGTGATAAGGTGTTCTAGTGTTTCCCCATTTTCCCCACAGGATGTTCCTCAGCTTCAGCCTACTGAGGTGTTCGTTGAGGAGACAGAGTCCAAGCCCCGTGACAATCCGAGGATTGTGCTTACTTAAATCAAGGAAAATCTTTGATGTTTCTCGGTCGTAAGTTCTGAGAAATTTCTTCGAGTGTTTTAGACCGGGCTGGAGGATTCCAATTCACGGATGGAGTCTTCCAGATTCTTGAGTTTCGATTTAACTTGGTTTCCACTTGGGAAGCAGAACGATCCTGGTCTAGTTTCTTGGTCAAGATTCCCTTGATGAATAGGAGCACTTTTTGATTAGTATCTCAGAAACGAGACATCAGATTTAAAATTTAATAGCACCACCTTACAAAGAGAGAAAAAAAAAGATAATTATGAAGTAACATTTATTTTAAAATATCTATTGAAATGAACCCAGGAAAAAATAAAAACAATTTTTCAATATGTTTCGTTTTTTTTTCAGAATATCTTCAAAAGTATTCGGATATTTTTGATTTATAAAATGGCATTTATCGGTCATAAAATTTGGTATAATTTGGCCTCCTTCGTATCTCTCATGGTTGGCGAGATCCAAACGTCACCCCCGAATATGAGACACCCTGTACATCTTTTCTTTTGTAAAATTCGTCAAAGAGAACAACGTTATAGAAGAAGACGTAATAATAATCAATAAAATTCAATAGGCTTAGGTGTTAAGTACAGCAAAGTGAATTGTAACTAATTTGTACTAAGTTGAGTTGTAAACAAGTGACAGGTTTGAAAAATTTAAGTTGTGTCTTCACCTAAACAACATGCATCAACATAATCTTAACAGAAACATGAAAGATGACTGCTGTTCCTAAAAATAAGAAAAATCAACAGGAACACAACAACAACTTATGCAAAAATTCTTTAGAAAAATATATTTTGATTACGTGAATTGAACTTGAAGGCCCCCACATAAAAAGCTTGTCATGTTTATAGAAAATAAAAAGCAAGTAGTACCACAGATTATACAGATTATAAACTTATCGTCAAAAGCATTGTTTTTCGTGGTTCCAGTTTTCGGAGTCGCGCACTAGTTAGGTTACTAGTTTGCGCACATAGCACGCCCACTTATGGCCTCTAAAATTGTACACAGCGCTTACACAGGAAATTTTACTCGTTTGTTCATCGTCATAAAAAACAATTTTCGTACCACAAATTAGGGACAAGATTTTTATCTGTATACTTATAGGATTCCTAATCTGTGGTAGTACAGAATTTTGTTCACTGTACAAGCGAACAGAATGACAGAATTATATCTTGGAAAGCTATTTTCACTGTAAAAAATGTGCTGAACTTTGAATAAGAAGACTAAGGAAGGAGCATATCAAAAATCTTAGGTACACCGCGATGGGCCTCAAATATGGCCGACTTAAATTCCGGTTTATCAGTGTCGTTCTAATTTTATTTAAAAAATGTAAAACTATGATGTAGGGTAGACGTGGGGTAGACTCAATAATTTGTTGTTTTATTTTACGTTGTAAATAAATGTTGGTAGTTATTAAAATTGTTATAAAAATATATAATTCTAATAAAAATAGATAAGTTATAATAAATATTTATTAACACAAACATCCGATACGCTAATGAAGCAGGTAAGTCAAATTAACGTATCTAAATTCTTTGACATCTAATCTTTGACAAGTAATAAATAAAAGCTAAAAATGCAAGAAAAATATATAATTTAGTTAATTTAAGTGAATTTCATAAATGATCGGTTTACTACACGTATGTATATTATATAGTCACTTACTAGCGAAAAGTTGTTCCATTATTTCACTCAATTTTTGCCGAGATCTACCGCACGCTACACAACCAACTATTTTAGAGTCTTTTTCGATAAATCGCGATAGCGTCACTGTTAATTTAAGTTCTGCCACAATTTCCATCTAGATTTACTACCTTTATACAACTATCAGTAGTAGAATAAATAATAAATAAGATAAAATAAGCTCCGTAAGAGACTGACAAATCCACAAAATTTCAAATCAAATTCAAATGTGTCAAATGAATCGTCAAACAGAACTGTCAATGATCCCCACCCTAGAGAGCTTTTATGGTGGCTTTTCCGCCCACCATGCATGAATACATGGATAGCATTATGCTCCTTCCTTAGTCTTCTTATTCAAAGGTGCTGAAACTATTAGTGGGTGCGTCACTTAATTCACTGTAGAATAAACTGTGCTATATAGGTGACAGGCAGTAGTACAGGTTAAACTGAACTAACTGGCCAGCACAGTTAGCCTGTGCTAAAAAAATTAGCGTCTTCGGAGGCTCTTACAATAAAAAATCAGTATCATCTCTGATCTCTGATCTCAATCTTATCTGATGTTTAAATATCATTTAAAAACAATTAATTTAATAATAATCAACAAATGCATAATATTTTGGTAAAGACTCAACAGTTCTCTTTAACAAATTTTGCGACAACATAAAAGAAAGTAAAGACTTCACTTCTAAAGCAATTTTCGTGATTTTTTATACAATATGTAAATTTAAACTATTAGTTATCTTTAACAGTATATTTCATACCTAGTTGTTTTGTATCTCTTGATATTATTAAAAGATGTATCGATTTTAGTATCAATAGAACATGTTAAAAATAAAGAAAATCCAGTATTGCAAAAATAAAATCTCAAAAGGTTTCTATAAAAGACAAAAAACGTTTTTAACTAAAACAACTTTTGCTCTGTGGAGATCATGACTCATGATATTGTGAAAAAAGAGACTAATTAGCATGTCTTTTGGAATATATTAACAGATGAAGAATACTCGCTTAAATCAATAATTTAACTATCATATATCGATATATTATGACAAGATTTATCAAAAAGAGAACTGATAAACTTCTTTTGAAAGTATTAGAATAGTTTACCGATTAAAAATACATTTATTCTTAATTTTGATGATTTAAAGTAGCATGGTTATAATTAAAAACTAAATTAAATGACTAAATAGAGAGCTGCCTTTACTATAAACATTTTTATATTGTTTAATTATATTACTTTTGAATGTACGACTGTTTTTTTTTCAATCACTTCCAAACTTACATATCTTGCTATACAGGGTGTCCCAGAAATAGTGCAAGTATTTTTAACTAGTAGTATACTTCGATCCCAGAAAAATGCTCATGATTTTTTTATTTTGAAAATATATAAATAAAAAATAAAATATATTTTTTTTTAATTTTATATTTTTCTTGATATTTTCCGGAAAATATTGAAAAACTTTTGAGTGCCGCTTGTTCAGTTACCGGAAATTTGTTTATAAAGCTTCGAGAGAATGCAATGTTGCCACCTCCTACGTTATCCACATTCTGTATGTTTCTAAGTTATAAAATCAAATTTTTAAATTTCTCCAAAAAGTACTTAAATTAATTTTATTCACTGTAGATTTTCATCATTGTAGATAACTTATTATGGACCTCCTATATTTTAAATACCTTTTTTACAGTTTAGTAAACCGGCATAATGAAACTAAATAATGAACAATTATAGTAGCTTTTCAACAGTTCACAATCAGCGCCCTCTATTAGATATGTAAATAGTCAACGTTTGACCTACATTTAAACAGATCAGCTCACTGAATTTTTAGCTTATCTAATTCATTTGAGATTTTAGTCCAAACAGTTATTCTGGGACACCCTGTATTTTTTAT